TTATACTGATATATATATATATTGTTTTTTAGTTCTATATAAATTAAGCATTTCCGTAATTGCTCATAGTGAGTCAAGTGGTTGCGATGGATATAAAATCCACAATATTGAGACCAATGAAAGGATGGTTCCAATGTAGTCACTGGTTCCTTGCACACTTATAATGTCTACTTCCTAGACAAACTGGTATCCATCGATCTGAACGAGATGGACTTCCGCTGCCAGTGATAGAACCCCAGTCTTCCACATTAGAAGCTTTACCACATAAAAAGTACTTTAACCACAGTGGCATTTCTGCTCCAAATTAAGAATGCTGCTCCAAATTAAGAACAGGAAATCCGGTTGTTGTTGTTGTTGACATATGCTTGCTTAGGCAGAGGGGGTGCGATTACTCTTGTTTTCCAGTGGCGTCATCTATGGCCAAGAATTCGATTTCTGCCACATCAAATATCACACCCGCTTATAGGGCGAACCCATTCATACATCCATTCCATCATCCACAGATAATTTTGACCTGAATCAAAGAACGATTCAGTACCCCCAGAGGTAATGATTTGTTATGGGAACATGGAGGACTTCTGCGACTCGACAGATTTAACGTGCATAACAGGGCTGGAGAAACCTCAGAAACTTTACCCGTCCCCGAGGACGGCTTGTCCAACAATGTACCCGTCCTCCTTTGAAACTAACCCGTAGCTTCTAAATAAATTAAAATATAATTTTCTCTTATTTATTACAAACATTTATATAAATTGCACAATGAATTAATAGTTACTTGGATTACAAATACTAGGATTACATTATACAGTAATAAAAGAAATACTAGGTTGCTCAAGCCAATGATTTACAGAGGTTTCTGCACAGAAATCTGGAAAGGGTTTTCCATTTAGGTAGATGTTCATAATTGCATTTAACGCTTCTTGTTTCAGACCAGTACGCAATGTGCTTTTTTTTTTTTTTGTAAGTTCATTGGTGAAAAGCCCCTTTTGACCGCTGCAGTACTCCCAGACAGAGAAAACATCAATTCCACCATGCGCAGAATGTTCCTGTATTTCTAGATTAGAGATTCATTTCAGAAGTGAGGGGCTAGACTCTTATAATGTAATAAAACTTGAAAATATATCACGACCATTAACGGGAAACTGGCCGTCCGCGCGGACGTCGGATTCGAGAAATTCGCTGTCCGCTGGGAATTTTTAACCGCCGAGGACAGGTGGACGGGCTGTTTTTTGAGCCCTGGAGCATGAGTCACTTTACTACACGGGGAGTCTTCGGCAGGCGGGGTTCGAACACAGGAATTCTCGGACATGGGCCCAATGCCCTACCGACCAGGCTATCCCGGCCCTAGGAAATCCGGTAATTTCAATATGTTTAAACAGTCACTTAACATAATTTTTCATTTGCATAGTAAAACAGTCCGAATCAAACTCCGTTAAAAAGTACCGGAACTCTTGGTGCATGATCGATAAAATTAATATTTTCCGTGAAATACATTTTTACCGTTTTAAAACCGTAAAATTTACAGCAATAATTAGACTATGGTAATGCAATGATTTTACAATAAGTATTACCGTAAAAGACGCCTTTTTTTTGTTACGTAAAATTTTATTGTAAAACTGGATTTTATTTTTAAACACCCCGGGTGCCGGTACATTTTGAAGTACTTTTTTGCAGTATAAAAGTTAAGATTGTTTTATTCTGCATTTTATTCATATTCTGCATTTGTTCATATTCTGCATTTTATTGCCTCACAAGCAGAAATTGTCTGAATTTATTACAATAGATTCGTTATTTAACAATAATTAAATTTTCTTTCATTATAGGTGGTAATCCTGCTCCTTCTGTCCCATGGCGGCTGGAACGGACCCTCCGTTACTTTACTCTCATGTACTTCTGAATCCTCAAAACTCGTTCGAGATGTCGTCCAGAAGGTATACTTTTTAATTACGAAGTCGAATATATGAGAGTAATATTGTTGAGTACTATTTATTGTAAAATTTGCCAAAAATCAAAACCTTATTTTCCAGTGGGTGAAAATTAAAATATAACTAAAAGTCCTTAAACTAGAGGGAAAGTTTTAATCTTAAACTAAAACTATTATCTATCTAGTTGACAAAAAATTTTTTGAACTTAAGCATTTAAAAACTAAACGGCTTAAATATTTAAATAAAATATTGAAATTAAAAAATATCACCAATTTAACCATATTTTTTAACTAGAATAAAATAATTAAAATCAATGAAAAGACATTAAATTTTTGCATGTTTTTATAAACTCATATGAATAATTCAATGTAGAAAAAAATTGTCATAAATAAAAAAAAATAGAACACAAACTAGATTTCAATAGTCTCTGATCTAGTTTTGTTATGTATTTCTATATGTGAACACTAGGTTTCATTTTAGAAAAGCTGAAGTATTTCTTTATATAGACTATATGAATATTACCGTGTAAAAAATTCCGGGTCAAATTATTTATAAAATACTGTCACTTTGAGCATCGGTACTTTTCACCGTAACTTAATCCAAAGCTTTTTAAGTGTAGTTCGCGAAAATTTTCATTTACCTAAATATTTTATGTTTGGTTAGTTTTACATTTATACAAACTATTATTGAAAATCACTTTTGAAATCGCCATTGACTATTATTGAAAATCGAATTTAGATTTTAAAAAAACCCAAAATATACATAATTGTAATTTTTCCACTTATCTGGTAATGGTTTACGGGGAAATTTCAATTTTCAAAATTATAGATTTTGTTCCTACACATTTAATCAAAAAATATGATCATTTGCGAAATTTTATCACATTTTATAAAACAATATTTCCTTGTTAATTTTACCGCTGTTTTGACTGAATCTCTCTTCATGGTGGAAAATATAACATTATTGTACACTGAGAAAAAAAGTATTTTATTTTATTTTATTTTATTTTATTTTTTTATATTATATTTTATTTTATTTTATTTTATTTTATTTTATTTTATTTTATTTTATTTTATTATTTCATAACCGCCTTTGGACAGCCAACTCAATTGTTGGGTTTACGGCTACTAATGTTCAACTCAGCATCCTTGTAATTTTGAACCCAACCCAGAAGACAAGGGAACTCCTGGATCGAGTATTGGGAGAAATTTGCCTTCGAGGGGAACTTTTTGATGGAACTAACCAGCATTTACGTTAAATGGAGTGGTAAACCATGAAAACCGATAGAATTCGAATAATTTATTTTTTTTGCCTGAAATGTCATTACCTGATAGTACGGTAATCTTCTAAGAATTGTTTTTTTCTTCGTGTGATATTACAAAATATTCTGTGAATAGTTTAGTTTGATCATAATTGTCCCAACAATAATTTTTCGCTTTGCATCAGCCTGGCAATTTGAAAAATTTTTAGTAGGTAATTACTAAAGTTCATTTCAAAACATATAATTTATTACTTTTTAATTTGAATTTTGAGTAAAATAAACCTTGTATTGCATCAAAATTGTCTGCAATTTTAGTTAATTTTCTGCATGCTGATTTTTATTCGAAACTTTCATATTATTACTCATAGTGTGTTATTAAATTAAATTTTTTTACTGTTGCGTCATTAATAACTTTCGCATTGGATGTATGCCGAAAGAACAGCACATAAACATATAAATTAAGTTGAATAACTTATGTAATTCATATCTTAAAATAAGTGAAGAGTGCTACTTTGTCCATTAAGCTACGCTATATTTTATTTAAATTGTCTAAAGTCAGTTTTAATTGAGCTTTAATTAAACTACGGATGAAATAAGAATAAAAGTTTCAGTAATTATCATATTACTTATTTTAAAAATTGTTTTAATATACTTCCATATTGCATGATAGTGTTTTCATCATTTCACGATTACTTTTATTCTTTTATAACCCTCCGTGTTCTTTATTATCCTATTGAGCACGATATAATGAAACATTATTGTTTTTAAATTAAAATGAAAATTATTCATTTTTAAAATAACACTCCAAGTAGATCAGTTTGCATATTTTCGTATTGTGAATTATCGTTTTTGTAATCAGATGAATTACGTTTCTTAATAATATCAAATAATGCTAAATCTGAATAATAATTTTATAGTACTCCAAATAGATAATGTTAATGAAAAGTTTTCAAATAACATTGCAATTAACAACCTTAACAATAACCTTAAAAAACAACCTTGAGAAAAGTTTCATAAATTTTTCTATTAAAAATGCCAAGGAAACATTAAATTTATACTGGCATAATATTTTAGTGAAAAACATGAATTTAAAAATAACTATTGTTTCATCATATTTATGCCATTTTATTAATCTTTTTAAAACACAGTGGTTTTCGTTTTCACTTGAAATTATTGGTAGTAAAATATGACCTCTGTCAACGTTACTTTAATGTTAAAAAAAAAACACTTTAAACAAATAAATTTGCAGTTCTGAAGAATTTAAGACAAATTTTCTTCTTTCTTCTTATAGAATGTTTACAATGCACTGAACTTTTAAAATATTCGTAACTTTTTCTCTAACTAGCAGTTGTATTAAGAAGTATAAGTAAAAAAAAACAGGTTGTAGAGTTCCAATGGTAGAACTCTGAACTGTACAAAACAACTTCTTCAAACTAGTTTAAAGTAATCTTTCAACTTATCAAATTTACTTTAACGAAAAGCATTTTTTAAACCAAGTTCTTCAAAATATGAAACAAAATTTCAGATTATTTCTCATAAAATATGTACAGCATGCAAAGTTTTTAAAGCCACCTTAATATTTTCTTTAACTATATGCGGTACCAAGAAGTATGAGCTAAACAAAAATACAAAAAAGTTGGCAAGTAATTTATGTAAACCTCTACAGTGACCCAGAAAATTTCAACAAAATAATCAAAAGTAATTTTTATCTCCTTTTTCAATATTCTGCTCAGATCAAATTAAAACCCATTGACTAGAACTCACGCCATTTATGATTTGGCAAACAAACCAAATGGGACGCTTTTTATTTCATAAAGAGAAAATGAACAAAAGGAAAAAACGCATTTATTTATGTGAATGGGTTTGGCGTAGAAACGAACGCCAGCTTTGGCTTCTCACAAACGAACTAATTTTCCTTTACTTCCATTTACAGAGCAAGGACTCAATATGCATTTAAATGAAAATTCTCCCTGGAATGTTTTTCATGCAAATTCAATTTACCAATTCGTAGAAAAAACAGCGCCAAGAGTGAAATTATTTTTCTCTTACAATTGTGATTACAAACTGTTTATTTTTTAAGTTGCCAATGGTAATAAAAAGAACGCCAAGATAATACATATAGCTTTTTTAAATGACATTTCAGAAACGCATTTTAGAGTAAAATCTGCACTCATTTTATTTCTTCGGCTCAAAAATTGTGTTCCATAGATAATAGATTTAATTAAAAGGTTCACAGAAAATGACATTTTTTAGTGTTGAATTGCCTTTTTATGTCAATTCAATTTACTGGAAATATTAGTTTGTTTCTTTAAAACAACGTTTAAATGGAATTTAAGTTATAAAATACAACTTAAAATGACTGCAAAAAGAATTTTAATATTAACTTTTTACTTTTTTGATCATTCTTTATGTATAAAAGGAAATTCCAGTTTTAGTATTAATAAATATATTTATATACTCTTACTTTAAGCGATTTATTCCGTATTTTAAAGTTTCAGCATGTTAAGGCTCTAAATTTCCTTAATTAAACCTTTATTACTTTAAAGCATTTATTTTATCGAAATTTATATACATATTCAATTATGTATTCAAAATATTTTTATATTTTATTATATTGAACTTTATTTTTAATTATTGTTTTTCTTTTTTTTAAAAATATTACATTTCATATGCATTTTATAATGTAAAAAAAATAATAAATCTATTTCACGAATTTCAAAATAACAGTGAACGGATAAAATTTGAAAAAATTACTTTTCTCATAAATCAGTGAACAAAAATTATTTTCACTTACTTTTTACTGAATTAAATTTTTCCATTTTCTTGAAGATTCATAATGCATTTCAAAATTCTATCTTCATTTAATTTGAAATAAAATTTGAAATTGTTTTGATATTCTTGTTTTATTTTTATTTTTCGAGAAATTTCAAACTTTAGTTTTAAAAGAAGAAGAATTATATTTATGTTAATAATAATAATTATAAAATTTTAACAATAATAGTAATTACTGATATCATTATTACTATGGTAATTAAAATTATTATTATTATTATCATTATTATAGGAGTTAAAATTTTAATTAAAGCTATAATTATTATCTATTATCTATAATAAAACATGAAAGGTTTGTGTATCTGCCTGTGCATGTCTCTTATAACTTTTGAACCGTTCATTCTTTCTTTCTAAAATTTGAACAGTGACTCCAAGAGTCAATTTTAGATCTTGATTCTAAAATTCGTTCAAAATTTTAAATTAGGTTGTTCGAGAGTGTGGTTTGAAAAAGAAATTTTCCTCATAGGGCAAACGTTTGCTACTATTTTAAATTATATTACACACTATTCTATTTTTCAAAATATTTTAAGGATAACATCAGTGATATTTACTAGCTTATAGCTCTATTTGATTAAAAAAGGAGTTTATTCACGAACTTCAATGTTCAATTTATTCGTCATGTCAGATAAACTAAATAATCAAATTAAACTTGGTAGCATTGCTGGACTACGTCACTGAATTAGTATTCTTAAAGTTATATGAGCCATGTGTTTATTTTGTTTGCAGTAATTCTTTCGAAACGTGTTGCTATAAAAGTAAATAATTTGAAATCATCGCTAATTGAAATGAAAAAAAAAACATTCGTTATGCAATGAATGGCGAAATTAATGGGAATGGGACACTAAATCGTTCAGATGAAACTTTAAAAAAATCACCATACGATTCTTAATTAATTTAAGTAATGGATGCTTGTATTGTATTTAAAAAAATAATCTAAGTTAAAAAGAATTTAAGCTGTAAAGGTAAGTATTTGGGGTAGCTGTAAAAACGGACCATACTATTATTGGCTCCAATGATGTTTAAGGAATGTTACTAATATCCTCCAAAGTCCTCCAAGTTCCAGTAACAAATCAATATCTCTGGGAGGGTACTGAATTGGAGATTGATCATCTCTGGTTAAGATCAAAATCTGTGGATGAATGAATGGAGCATGATGGATTCTCGCTGTAAAATAGGCTGTGACGTGAGTGTGGCTGAAATCGTATTCTTGGTCATAAATGGAACCCCTGAAAAAACAAGAAACGCACCCTCTGCCTTTAAAATTCGCTTGATTTCAAGCATTCTTGCTGGTATTGGCAAATGTCATAAGTAACAACAGCGAGAAATAGCTCAAAAAAGCAAAAACTGAAATAAATATTACCGATCTTATGACTAAGCTATTAAGACTATAATTTCCAAATTGTAACCATTTGTATCAATGAAATTGGAAATTATTTTGAAATGAGGTGCCATTGCGGCAACCACTTTTTGAAGCTTCGTAACTCTCCCTGGATTGATATGTGCAAATAGGATGGTTAGAACTTCGAACTGCAAAACAGGAGGTCCTAGGTTCAAATATTGCTTGCAACTAACAAATATTTCACTTTATCTCACACACATTACTCTCTGTACATCACGCGCATTACTTTCAAAACTATGCATTTCGCTAAAAAATGAGTATATATTGTTTGAGTATATAATTTTATGTATTATTTTTTGAGTACATAATGTATGAGTATATAATTTGAAATACATTGGGTTTGTCGAATTCAACTATTACTTGCTTCGGAGCTATTTTGACACACTTTTCCTCGATTGTGAGAAATCGTTCCTTTTTACAATAAAATTCTCACATATCTGCTTTATACATATAAAAATTACCGACTGTGGAATTCCTGTTCAACAAATGAGGATTTAAAATGAACAAATGAAATAAAATAGCCTGAATTCGTCACCTAATTAATGGTAAAAAAAAAAAATTTTTTTTGAACTTGAAGGCAAAATAAGTTATTGACAAATAAAGTTTTATTAAAATATAAATTGTAAAGTACTTCCAAAGCACGCTAAAAAGGAATTCACAAAACCGATCTCTCAAACATGTGCACAGTTGTTAAATAGCTGATTCCCTTATCAGTAAATCGTAGTCTACTTGTCGTAACATGTGCAACTTACCTGACAGGTAAGAAAAATAGAATTGGTCACACATTTACAACAAATGGAATTAGGTTTATGAGCAAAATACATTTATTCGAAAAATATCTCAGACTTATATTCGTTAAAAATAATAATAATAATAATAATAATAATACGTACTGTAAATCAAAACAATGTAAAAAATTAGTTTTACGTATTCCATGACATTTTTCTGTAGTATTTAATAGTGGGGGGGGGCTTCTAATGATTGCGGATATTGCATTTGAAATTTTCAAGGAATGTTTTTAATGTTATTTTTATTTTCCAAGTTAAAAAGATCGCATTCCCTTTATACGATCTTTTTTAGTAAAAGAGCCCAGATTAATATAATCACAAAGATCGATCATATTAATATTGATCGCTAAATGTAAACATTTTTATTTATTTGGAAAGAGACAAAAAAAAATTTAGGAGCACTAAATAAATAGCGACAATAATAATTTTTAAAGAAATATTTATAATGGGTGTTTTTTTCCTTCTTATACTTGACAGAAGTTATTTTAACAGATATTTGATCTTTTTTTGCAGCGATTTCTTTCAGTTGTGGAACGATACAGAGTTTCCTTACCCCTTGAATGTCCCTTACATCCTAGACGAGATATGTTTTGGTGGTTACAGACTGAGCTGGAAGCAACAAAAATCGAAGGAGAAGAGACTTGGAACTGTCCCGTGTGTGGACAGAAATTTCGCTGCGAAAACACATTCGCAACACATTGGGACTCCTCTCACTCCAGAAGCATGGGAATGGTAAACTCTTTAAAATTAAATATACCTGTTATTGTGATATATTACCTGTTATTAAATATACTCGTTATTGTGATATTCTATATAATATACCTGTTATTGTGTTAAATATACCTGTTATGTTATTGTGATAAAAGTACTTTTATACGAATGAAAAACCTTGAACAATATAGTGACTGTGATGCCACAATTGGCATTACATATTTATTTCCTATCCTTTAAAATATATAATTAATTACTTAAGTTTATTTTATTAATCGAATTATATTTAAAATAAATCAAAGACTTAAACTTTTAAGGCGAATATAAAATATTTATTCTTTTTTTTATCAATCAATGTAACGGATACTTTTTATTTCAATACTAATGCAGACTCATGCGCCTAATCGAAAACCAAAATCTATTTATAACCTTTTAATTCTAAATTTCTAACCGCAAAAATGTTTCAGTTGTATGATTGTAATATTTCTCATAAATTTGTTGGCGACTCGTGATCGCCAAGGTATTTTTTAAACCCAATATTGATATGCGAGGTTGCCTTTGTTTTGGCTATGTTATATTTTAATAAATCGCCAACTCTGGATCTAACATCCAACTCTGGATCTTCTCCTGTGTCCGTTTTGGCTTTTGAATAGGCAGGTCATGTGACCTTGTCTTCCATGGCCAGTTCTTGTTAATATTATTATGCAAAATTTATTCAACTGAAATTCTTATGGATAATATTTATATCTTGTATCTCGAACTCTACAAATAGATTAAATAAAAGCTTTATATTAGTTATGATCCGGTTCTCATTTGCAAGTGTTATTTTCATCACAATCTTCAATTAGTCAAGAATACCATATAAAATTTCAACAACACACTGACTATTCCATCTTAACAGTAACAGCCCTACTTAAAAAGAAAATTTTTGCTAACTATAACTCATTATTGTTTCCAAAAATGTATTTTCAATTCTACTAGATGGCAGCTCAATACCCAGAAATATCCTATTTTCCATACGATCGTGGTAGTGTTTGACCGAAAAAGCTTTTAAAAAGCATGCCGATTGCTTTAAAAACAAATTAGTTTATTACTTTACGTCCTCATTCTCTTCAAAACAAATTTTAAATCTTCGAATTTATATTAAGACTGCTCATTTCGTCAAGCTGTAAGGAATAACTATAGCTAGCCGACATTTTAAACATTACAAACAAAATGTCTCCTATTTCATTTTATANAATGCGTAAAAGTTGGCAGTTATGTATATATATATATATGTATATATAGTTACTAATGTTCATTACTACTAACATGTACAGCTTCATGCTCTAAAAACCTTTATTGGAATAGTTAACTCACTATTAAACGTATAGAAATCTGAAGAAAAAAAATGATTTATAACAAAACTCGGAGAAGCATAAAATTTGTTCTTGAATCGTGGCTATCATCTGTAATCAAAGTCTAGAGCTATTTTGGGTTTATTAATAAAATGTATGAATGTCATGCAAAAGTTAAAACATAAAATGTAAAATTAATCTGATTATATCAGTTGTTTATGGTAAAAATATTCGAAAAAATTATTAGTAAAAGAGGAACAATAATTAAAATTCGTTGATTTTTGTATTTTTTTATTTATTTTTTTTTTTTTTGATCAGATTACTTTATTCCTTAAACCTACAAATAATTGCGAACAATTTTTAAAATTTTGAAAAGTTCTGGATTCTACGTTGTTTTTTTTTTTGTTTTTTTCAAATATGTCTAGATCTTGCTTAAAAAGTTTCCAAGTTGTATGATATAACAACTTATTAAGCTATGGATAGTTCTCTATCTTTCATAACTTTATTAGAATTTTTAGCGATTATACTCTTTGAATCGTTATAACTCTCTTTTCAATAATTTATTACTTTAATCTAATCAAACAAATTCCAATAAAGCCTTTTTTAGAAATCAATTAAAAAACTTAATTGAATGAATGAAAAAGTATCAAACAAAATTTAAATTCGAACGTACATTTTTTTTCAACAGAATTTACATTTGTACAATTAAACACAATAGTACAATTTTTCAAAAAACGAAAAAGGAATAGTAATCGAATCAATTGTATTTGACAACACATTGAGAATTTTATTACAACATGGTTCGGATCAATCAAATGACTCTTGCTCAATCCCAATCAAAAAAATCTCTTGCATGGTTATGTTATATCCTATGGATATACGAGTTGATCCACTAGATCATGCGATTTAAGATTGAATAACGTATTTTCGGTTGCAAAGGTCTTTTGATGCCATTTAGATTAAGCGAATTATCCCTCCAGATTTTATATTTTTTTAATCGGCGTAGAGCAACCGACTCTATAGTGAGTTTACGACTAACAATGATCAACTCTGCAGCCTTGTAATTCTGATTCCAACCCAGAAGACAAGGGAAAAACTTCTGGATCAAGTATTGGGATTAACTAACCTATATTTGCGTTACGTAGATAGAAAAACCATGAAAATCTCCCGTGGTTGGCCCGACGGCAAGGGTCTTTAAACACATGATCCGTCTAACGCTAAGAGATATTATAAGTTCGAGCTGTGATCGGTGCAAGCCGGGAGCAGAATTCGTATCTACCAACTAATGCTGGATTTGAACCTGGGTCACCACTGAACAGACGAACGCTCTATCTCTCTATCAGTCGTGGCTCTATACCTCTAGAATGTGCAATTTAAAGGTGCAGTGTCAATAAAAGATGTCGAGGGTATTTTATTTTATTTTAAAGCCATCGTTGAACAGATGATCCAATTTTTGGATATACGACTGCGAATGTTGAACTCCGTAGCCTTGTAATTTTGAACCCAATTCAGAAGACAAGGGAACACCTGGATGAAGTATTGGGAGAAATTTTGGCCTTCATGGAGGACTTTTTTTGGATGGAACTAACCCGCATTTGCATTATACGGAGAGGAAAACCATGAAAACCTTCTACTGTTACGCCGACGGCAAGGGGACTCTAACCCATGATCCGTCTACCACTGAAGATATTTTATGTCAGCACTGCGGTCCGGGTGCGGGATTCGTATCGACCAGCCTCTGCCGAGATTTGAACTATCTTATTCTGTATGTCAATAAAACCACAAATATCCAAGCTTTGAAAGAGGTTATTGGGTACTGTTACTGTAATATAACTAAGATGGAACCAGAATTGTACCAAATTGTAATTGAAAATTTTCTTGCAAGAAACTCAAAAGAGAGAGCAAAGTAAAGACGGAATTGCATTTTATTTTTCCCTCCAGTTAATACATTCTTTTTTCAAGCTATGATAAAGTCTTAGCATTGTAAAATACTTTTTTTTTTAAAAATTATTCTCTCTTGAGCAGTAATGGCACAGGGGATAGAGTGTTCTCCTTTCAGTGAGGTGAACCGGGTTCAAATCCCGGCGATGGTTTGTCGACATGAATTCCGCATCTGACTTGCACCAATCACAGTGCTAACGTAAAATATCCTTAGTGGTAGGCGGATCATGGGCAAGAGTTCCCTTGCCGCTAGGCTAACCAGGTGAGTTTTTCATGGTTTTCCTCTGCATTTATCGCAAATGCTGGTTAGTTCCATCAAAAAGTCCTCAGTGGAGGCAGATTTATCCCAATACTTGCCCTTGCTTTCTGGATTGGGTTTAAAATTACAAGGCTAAAGGCGTTGAGCATAAGTAATCGTAAACCCAAAAAATTAGGTCGACTGTTCAACGACGGTTACAAAATAAAATAAATAAATTATTCTCACTTATTGAGATATTCCTGCTCCAAACTCTGGCAGCTTCGTAACAAAATAAACGAAAGAGAATAATTTCGTTACGAAATAAAAAAAATCAATGGAAACGTTACATTATTTTTTTTTACAACAATGACAATGAAATGTTTATTTTTTTGTAACAATGTTAAAAAAATAATAATGAAACATTACATTTTTATTTCTTGCAACAATGTCAATGACGATGAAACGTTTTTACTTTTTGCAACAATGTCAATGACGATGAAATGTTACGTTTTTATTTTTTAACAATGTTTAAAAAATAAAACTGAAACGCTACATTTTTGCACTTTTTCGTATTAGTAGATTTTTAAATTAAGTTTTAAAGCTTTACAAAAATCAACAAGGGTGTCGATTCCTCCCAGAAGAATGCTAAAAAAAATTTTTTGCGATTAACTCTCGCTTTTTTTTCTGCCTAGGCAATATTCGATTTCACTCAGCCATAAAAAAAAGTAATTAATGCAATTTTAAATTATAATTGAATTTGAAATGCGTTTGCAGGCGGAAGAGACAGTGTGCCTTGATGACTACTGTGATGTCTTCAGATGTGATGTACTCAAAAGACGAGTCCTGAGACAAAGACAAGAAGATGAAGATAGTATAAAGAAGATCTCGTCTTTTCAGCCCTCTTCCCTCAACCTGTACTCCTTATCAATCTTCAAAAACGAGCATGCGCATTCCAAGCTTAGTGAAGACGATGAAGAAGTCAAGAAAATGAAAAAACTCTGCAAATCTGATGAGATGAAAAGGAGACATACTAAATGCAGGGTAAGTGAGAAAATAAAAATCCTTAATATAACAGCTTTCAAATATAATCACTCACAATAAATAGTTCAGTGAGATCATTGGCTTTCGATTCATCATTAAAAAAGTAACAGCATCACAATTCATACCAAAGTAGTGTGATAGTAGACAGCTTTTATTAGTTACTTTCACTTAAAATAGAGAGATTTTGCATAAAGTCTGTCTTATCGTAACGCTAGGCTTATTTTCTACCACTTAGATACTCGATGATGTTTTAGGAAACTTACGCGCATGCGCTGAGGGGAAACTGTAAGCCTTTGCAAAATATCTCTGATAAGAATAAGGCAAACATAACTTCCTCAGATAATGAGAAATAGAAGTGTTACTTTATTTAACTTGGTGATATTTTGTACTCTCAAGTACTTCAAGTACTGATCTGAAATTCACTATAGAGATTACTTTACGGCTGGAAATAATATGACTATTTCCAGCTGATAACAGTCCCATTCTCAAGGGGATTTTTTGTTACCAGTGGTATAATGGTAGTAATGTGGTCAGCACTGCGCAGTTTTGAAAGATAGGTTGTTAAAAATGACTACTTTTTAATCTGAATATGACTCCCATTTTTAAAAACAATAGCTAAATAGCAGTGTAAAATAATGCTTTAATTTAATCATAATTTTCCTTTATGTAGTGATATAACCAAATATGCTACTAAATTTTACAATTATTTTGAAATTGTATTTAGATATATTTTGAGAGAGAGATTTTTACCACAAAAGTTGGAAAAATAGCTGTATTTTATTAAGAGAGGAAAAAAAAAAGAAAATAGCTCATACTTTAAAGCTAAAATAAACAGAAAATAACAACAATAAAAATTAATAAATAAACATTTTTTTCTGCAAATGAATACAGATGAAGTTTCTAATCGTTTTTTGCATTTATACATGTACTAAAAAGCCAGCTTAGGTCTTTATTAATAATCACTATCGTTCTTAGAAAGTGATATTCAGATTATTATTTACTTGAGAAATTTTTAATCGCTTAAAACAAAAACACTCATTATTTCATAGAAATAAATAATTTCTTTAATTTTAATTACGTGTTTTTCTACATTTCATTAATTTTCGGTTTTTCATAAAACTTGGGCGACCAAAATTAAAAATGAAGCAAAGTTTTAATTTTCAGAATAATACCCTAATCCATGTTTGCACAGCGTCTCATTGGCTGATTTCTTTGAAAAAGTACTCTTTTAGCTACATAAAACATAAAAATTAATTTAATTTATTCCAGATTCTCTTGCAGTTATTTTTTTTCCAAACTTATTTGTATACTTTAGAACATTATACTAAATCTGAAAAAAAAATAATGCTTTGAACCGAAACCATGAGTTGATAATTTTTAAACGAAACGTATTAGTAAAAATAATTGTATAAATAATAACTGTAACTAAATATAAAATCTGCCAGATTCATTTTCGCTCTTCTCAGCATTTTTACTAAAAAATGAAATATGATATAAAATCAACACAGAGAATTCTTTCAGTTTTATAAAGCTATCAAACAAATGAAATAAGTTCTCAATTGATCAAACTGCAAAGAAAAAAATCGATGTTTTAAAGGGATTTACTTTTACGATGTCTCTTTCTGTATTTAAGTCTTCTCTTTTACACTCTTAAAAGAAGGAAAAGATAAAAAAAAAACTATATAAATGTACTGTAACAAATAACACTGTAAAATGCAGTACAGTTTCTGAAAGAGAGATGTTACAACGCATTAAAAAAGAAGTGTATAAAACAGATTTCCCTCTGTTTTCCCCTTTTTATTTTTATGTTTCTTACTTTAGTCCCTAAAAATGAAAACTTTCAGCGCCTTTCTAAAACTAATCTGACATTTTTTGATTGATGATGTTAAGCAGGGGATGGGGATTGTTAAAAAGGATAGGGGGGAAAAAAGAAGAAGAAAAAAGGATGCAAGGGATAAAGATAAATACCTCTTAGTTTTCCTGTAAATGTTAGAAGCACTCTTTTTCCCAAAGCTCTGCATTGATTTCTTCTCTACTCTTGATTGTTCCCCTAAGAGATGATTTTTCATTGGCAAAATACCGCGCGCTGGCAAGTTGTCCTGAAAGCGCTCTTAATAAGCACTTATAAAGCTTATGCAGAGGGTGCTTGTCTGAAAGTCAATTTGAGATATTTCTGCTAGAATGGTAAAAAGCGATCGTCTTTCAGACTTTTTGGGGGGTCGTCAAAAAATGCTTTCGAATTAAAGGAATAGAATATATCTAATCTCTCACTTGGTTTGATATTTAAAAAAATGCATAAGTTCGAAGAAATACATAATAACGGAAAACTATTATCTCTAATTTCGTATAATAATTTATATGTTTAATTTGCTAATAATTTGTTTAATTTGTTGATAATTGTAATTTTCTTTTGATGTTTATAATAGTGTACTTGGTTATTTCGTATAATTTGTTAATCATTTGCTGATTTCTTAAAATTTGTTAAAATTTTGGCAATAAAAAATAGAAAAATAATTTAAAATGATTATGAGAAATTATGATGAATGGTTTCGTATAATTTGTTAATCATTTGCTGATTTCTTTAAAAAATTTAATATTTCGGAAAGAAAAATAGAAAAATAATTTAAAATAATTATGAGAAATTATGATGAATGGTTTCGTATAATTTGTTAATCATTTGCTGATTTCTTAAAATTTGTTAATATTTTGACAAGAAAAAATAGAAAAATAATTTAAAATAATTATGAGAAATTATGATGAATAGTTTCGTATAATTTGTTAAACATTTGCTGATTTCTTAAAATTTGTTAATATTTTGACAAGAAAAAATAGAAAAATAATTTAAAATAATTAATTATGAGAAATTATGATCAATGGTTTCGTATAATTTGTTAATCATTTGCTGATTTCTTAAAATTTGTTAATATTTTGAAAAGAAAAAATAGAAAAATAATTATTTAAAATAATTAATTATGAGATATTATAATCAATGGTTTCGTTCAATTTGTTAAAATTAAAACTCTATAATCTATCAAAATGAGGACTTAAATTAAGAAAAAATAATTTATAACAAAAAATTATGATAATTGATTTGGTATAATTCGCTAATAATATTGTCTGTTAGTTAAGACTATAGAATTGAATTTTTTCAATTTAAAATTGTTAGAAGTTAGAAATCACTTACGTAGAATTCTTTAATTACTTAGTTTTATAATTAATGCATTAGTTATCAAATGAAGATTAGTTTTCTAGTCATTTGATAACTGAATGTTTAACCTCAATCAATATCAAAATTATTTAAGTTAGGAGATATATTTTATAAAGTAAAAATAACATAGAGAAAAAGATTCTGGTGAAATTACTGTACCGTGTTGCAATAATATTTCTGGTAAAAAAAAATTTAAAAAGAAACATAACCTTGGTTAAAGAAAAAGTACAAACTGGAAAGTAAATTTAATCGAATAAATGATTTTTTATGCCATGCTCTGAAATATCATGATGAAATAACCAAAATTTATCACATGTAATAAATGAATACCTTATTGTCCATTTAACTAGAATCATTACCAACGAGCTTCGAAAAAAATTACCGAGCTTTTTAGTATTTTCTTAGAGCCAGAAGCATTATAAATTTTTCCATATTCTAGTAATTTTGATCAAATCTCTTTTTTTTCGGTGTAGGAATATAATTTCGTTAATTTTATAATTTTTTCATTTTTCAATTGAAACTCTATCTTTACCATGATTCAATGTAAAAATTGTAAGCAGTATAAATTATTTTATAATTAATAATTTTGTATAATTTTTAAGGTCTCTGTAATTTCTTAGGTTTTTTTTATCTAAATAACTTGAATAACTAAATATAATATTTTAAAAATTGTAATTGTTTTGGGTATTCATTACCTACGCAAGTATTCCGTAATTGCAGATGTGCAATTCCTCTGTCTCAAAAAAAAACTTAAAAAATGAACTAGAAAGATTTTAATTTGGAAAAGATATTTTATAGTACATATGCGAAAAAAATATATTTTAAAATTAATATTTTGATAAGCATTGTTGCAACAAATAATTTAAAGAAAGTGAATGAAGTAAAGGTACTTAAACTAAAGTTCGCAAAGGAAATTTTTAAAACGTAAGGAGGATGCTCAGTGGTATAAAGATAAAGGAAAAATTAAAATTTTAAAAAAATAAATACTATCTTTAGATTATAAGACGGCAATACTGTAGTATTTAAATTAAAATTCAGAAGAAAAATCAGAATTCTTTTACAAAAGTATATTGTACTAGACACTATTCATCACATTTGGCTATTAATATTGTTGGAAAAAAAATATTTTATTCTTCTATCATCTAATTAAGTTTTATTTTTAAAAAAGTCAATACCTCTGTAGTTGTATTAAATTTTTTAAAATAATTTCATTGATTGTTGTTTTCTTTATCTCCCTACCATAAATCAGAAGTTCTCAAAAGTTGCTCTGAGGAACCCCAAGTATTCCCTAACAGTTTTACTAGGGTTCCGAAATTTAAGAGATTTTTTAAGCCTGTGCCGATTTTTTAAAACTGTAATTATATTTATATTCAATCATTACTTATTTAATATTTGGGTTGAATTTGAAAATAAGTCATGTAAGTAATCAGTAAGAAAGAAAATATTATATTTAAAAAAATCGCTTTAATTGATTTAGTATTTCCCATCAAACAATGCGAGGAAAATAACTAAACTCAACAATGTGTTTCTCTAATAACCATTCTAAAAGTTTACAACAGTTATTTTTCATTTTCATTTCAAATGAAATTATAACTCAGTTTGTTTTATTCATTTTCTATTTATGCATACATCAAAAACAATTAATTCAGAATTAGACAAAACGCCTCTCTAGATTCGTGAATTCAACTGTCCAGCATATCACCTAATTTTAAAACAGATGATAAAACTGTTAAGACTGGCTGTTGTTAAGACTATACTGATAAGGCAAGAAAAGAAAGAATTTTATTCCTCA